CTTGCTTATATTCCCGGATTTCCAAACCTTGCTTATATTCTCGGACAGAGGGAGTAAGTAATACGAAGAATTGGATGTATGGCTAACAATAAGAGAATAAAAAACACCGACGACTTGCAACAGCAACACTCATACCCCGACGAGGGAAGCGGGGGCGGTTGTGAAGTGAGACAGCACTTCCTTGTTCGTCTTGGGGTCGAAGGCTCTCTTCTTTCCCCAGCAGGTGTCAAAGTAGACGTGGACGTTCTGGTAGACTGATGAGGAAAGTGAACGGGGAAAGGGCAAGAAGAAGAGAACACACGGGACATGGTAAAAGATGAGTAGTCTAGCACAGCAGAGTCACGCAAAAACTAGGTTTATTTGACGCGGTATACTAAGACGATGGCAACGCGGGCATCCAAAAAAAAAACAGACAGACTCACTCAGTTTTCCCGTCACGGGATCCGTGCGGCCGGTGCTCCTGCCGAGCGAGAGGGTGTGCTCGACCAGCACCGTGCAGAAGATGCAGGCGATCTTCGACTCCTCGCCGGGCTTGACACGGTCTTTTCCGAAACAGTTCGCGGTGAACTGGCAGGTGGAGGGGTCGTCCTTGATGTTGCCGAGGCAGACGACGAAGAGGCGACCGTTGGTGTAGCGTTTCAGGAGGTCCTTGTTGTCCTCCGGGCACAGCCGACCAGGGAAAACCTCACCGACAATCTTGAAGCCGTCGGGGGAAGCGGCACCGTGAGAGGTCTGTCCGGGCTTGGCTCTCTTGGAAGGGCAGTTGTCGTCGAAGAAGCTAGACATGGTGGTTGGTGGCGTTGTTGATGGTGGCGGGACGCGGGCGTGCGCCCTTCGCGCAAAAAAAAAAAACAGGTGCCAGGAAATGGCCCGCAAAATCCCCCGCGAAATAACCCACAGCGAGAGTTTTCTATCATCAAAACACCCGTATTTTCCCCGCCGCCGCAAGCGCTCATGCCGGGTTGAAGTTTGTGATCTACACTGCTGTTTTGCGTAGACGAGAAGCGCACACACCTCTGGTATTTATTCGTTATGTTTGAACGACAAATGCGAAATAATGACAACCCGAACTGTTCGACCCATACATATCCGAAAGTTCTGCCGCAAAGATGGCTGCAAACTTTTGTGGCTACGCCAACGTTCATCCGCTGTCGCCCGCGAAACAGGGTGCTCAAATCACGCGCATCTCTGCCGCCAACGACACGTTTTCGCATGCCGGGTTCAACTCTGTGATTACACTGCTGTTGAGCGTAGATGGGATAGACGCACACACCTCTCATGATCATGTTGATGTTGTGTGACAAACCGAACAGTAAAGGTTGTCAAAAGAGCCGAGATAGCCAGTTTGGCGGCGAATTACCCGGCGGCATTCAATTGTGGGGAAGCGAAAAAAAAAAAAACGCCGCGCGTTCACAGCAGCAGCAAGTCGGCATGTTTTGGCGTGCGTTCCACAGCACAGGATCTTGCAACGTAACATCACGAAGGCTCGAAGCAAACGGGAGGAGCCCTCGCGGAGCGTTTTCGTATGCCGGGTTCAACTCTGTGATTACACTGCTGTTGAGCTAAGATGGGAGAGACGCACACACCTCTCATGATCATGTTGATGTTGTGTGACAAATCGAACAGCACAGGTTGTCAAAACGAGCGGAGATAGCCAGTTTGGCGGCGAATTACGCGGCGGCATTCAATTGTGGGGAAGCGAAAAAAAAAAAACCGCCGCGCGTTCACAGCAGCAACTCAGCATGTAGTGGCATGCGTTCCACAGCAGAGGATCTTGCAACGCAACATCACGAAGGCTCGAAGCAATCGGGAGGAGCCCGCGCGCGGAGGTGAAAAACTAAAGAATGTCAAGAGTCGCCGGCGAAAAAGGGACTGTCGGCAAAAAATCGAAAAGGACGAACTCTTCGGCACCAATAGACCTGCAACGCGACACAGCGACAGGAACAGACTGGTCCGTCTTAATAAACTAAAGAGCCCGGTGTCGACCTTCCGTAAACTTGGGAGACGCTGTTAGATATATTGGGGGTACTCGTAGCATAGTATGACGGTTGAGATGTTATGTACGTACGTACGAAAGTTACAGTGATGAGATGCGGAAGAATAGGAAATTTCTACATGTATTCCTTGGTTGCGAGAGGTATTTGGTGAAGGTTCAGAGAGATTCGTTGAGTGACAAAGAGTGAAGGCGTGACCAGATGCCGTGATGGTTTGACGAGCACTGGCACGCCCCCGATTAATACTTTACTTTGCAACACGTTTTCAACACGTTTCTACCCATCCACGCTCCGCCATGAGCCACCCGCTTTGAGCTCCAACCACAAAGAATCGAGCCACCCGAATTATCGATCACGCTAGCGTATGACACGTCGTCTACGAGATTCGCCGTCGAGCTTGGTTTAGGAGCATCGCATTGCGGCGATAGAGAGCAGGGTAAAGATGGCTACCAGGCGCGAAGATGAAGCCCGCCAAGCAGCGGAGGCCCGCCGAGCAGCGGAGGCCCGCCAAGCAGCGGAGGCCCGCCAAGCAGCGGAGGAAGCCAGGATCGAAGAACTGGTCAACGAGAGAGTAGCAGCTCGGATGGAGCAGATGATGGAGGAGAAACTGGCCAAGAAGATGGCCGAGATGGAGGTACGGCAACGAGCCGAGCAGCTGAGCACAGAAGATCTCCGGAGCGGGAACGAGGAAAAAGGGGTACCACACCAGCAAGCGACTGGGGGCCCATCGCCCAACCCCTCCGCAGACGAGCTGGCCAACGCGATTGCGACTGCCATGGCCGGTCGCCTCCAGACCTCATCAGGGGATATCGGTGCAGTACCACACCCTGCAACTCTCCGTATGACTGAGAGTAGAAGAATTGAGCCTTGGGATGGTGTGTTTAAGTCGGGGGACAATAAGCAGCAAAAGCTTTTGATTTTCAGATCGAGCATGGTAGCACGGTTTGCACAGGAGGATGTTCACGAAGTAGTGATGAGCAACCAAGACATCCCAGTAGGGAGGCAAGGCAT